CATTTTTTGGTTGCAGCCATCATTGTTGTTTGGCGGGCCCGGGCTGGGGATTCGAACCCGCCACCTTAGGTGTATGTGGCTGGCGCCTTAGCCTCTTGAGCCACAGGCGCCGAGCCGAGCCCAGAGGTTTGAAGCTGCAGCCAGCCTGCCACTGCCCTCCAGCTATGGAGACAGAGGACTCCTTTCAAAGGGGAAAAAAAAATTTGGAGACTTTAAGCCTCAGGGGAAGAAGCCAGGAAGAGGGAACTTTACAGGAGAAAGGGAAAATCTGCCTAATCAATGTCCCTCAAGGCAAATGGAAAAATTAAACTAAGAACTACGTTGAAGGATAAGCCACATTAAAATCAAATTATACATCTGGACGGCTGGGCCTTGTGGCTCGTTTATAATCCTAGCACTGTGGGAAACCAAGATAGGTATATTGCCTGGGCTTAGGAGTTCAAGACCAGCCTGAGCAACACTGACACCCTGTCTCTACTAAAAATAGAAAAACTAGGCAAGCATTGTGGAAGGCACCTGTAGTCCCAGCTACTTGGATGGCTGAGGCAAGAGAATCACTTGACTTCAGGAGTTTGAGGTTGCTGTGAGCTATAGCGCCATGGTACTCTACCCTGGGGGGCAGGGGAGGTATCTGCCAAAAAAAAGAAATCTATCTATCTATCTCAGGATGTAAATGCAGTACTGCCTTTGTCTTCATCATTGGGGAAGAGTTTCACATAACTGAATTTTTCTAGACACTTGAGCTTTCTTTCCCTTTTCCTCTGAAATTGTCCACCATTATAATCACACAGTACTCTGCCTTTCTAAACAGAATGTGCTTTCCTGGATTACTTAAAATCATTGTGACTATGATTACTGTACTAGGAAGTAATATAGCTGAGTCTGCAGGTTAATTTTTCAAATCTTCTTTGAATGCTCTACATGGTCAGCTGCATTTCCTCTGTTACATTGTCCCTAATAACCTTTTTCATTTGTGTTTCCAATAGATACCAGTTTGAAAGTTATATAACCATTAAATAATACCCTAAATAAGGGATAACAGGGCTCTGAATGAAAGTGCATGGTTTATGACAACTCTCCTCAGTGCTAAAAAGTCTGTTTTCACTTGTCTGTTAACTGATATGAAGTTTTTAAAGAGTTGGTATCAGAAGACTTACCTCTGACTATCTGGAATTTTATCTTGCTTCTGGAAATTATATCAAAATATCCCTGCCAAATAATTGATAATCCTATATGATTCATCTCAAACAAAACAAAAAAAGAATCATGTTGATTCTAAAAGTGAGCCTAGGGTGGTGCCTGTGGCTCAGTAGGTAAGGCACTGGCCCCATATACAAAGGGTGGCAGGTTCAAGCCTGGCCCCAGCCAAACTGCAACAAAAAAAATAGCCGGGCCTTGTGGCAGGTGCCTGTAATCCCAGCTACTCGGGAGGCTGAGGCAAGAGAATCGCCTAAGCCCAGGAGTTGGAAGTTGCTGTGAGCGGTGTGATGCCAAGGCACTCTACTCTACTAAGGGTGATAAAGTGAGACTCTGTCTCAAAAAAAAATAAAAATAAAAAGAAGAAAAGTGAGCCTAGACTTCTCACAATAACTAAATATACTTTCCTGTCCTATAGAAACACAACCAATAAAAAGTTATAATCTACATTTCATTCTGTATGCTAATATAGTCACCATGCATATTTTGCATATATGACTATTATTCATGATAAATACATATTCTTTACAAAAGCTTGGCTTTAATTCTGTCCAAGTTTCATGTCAATTTCACAAGTACAAACAATGCAAGAGCTAAAGAGGACTAGAGTTAGGCACACTGTTAACCAAAACTTAAAAATTCATCCCTTTAGTTCTTAAGATTCTGGATAGTTATTACTTCTCCTATACTTTACATTACTTCTCTAGGACTGCCTTCATGCTCCTTAAGTTTTTCATTCATATAATATTAATGGAAATCAGCAAATGGAGAATTTGTCGTCAAGACCAAAGGCACTGCAGTGGCCTCATCAATTCAAACTGAGACATCTCCAAACTCAAGTTTAGAGTATGAGAAGCACCAGTGTCTGTACCTTTCTTTATTCTGCTAGTCAAATTATTTACATTCCCCTTTCTAAGTCACAGACTGAGGACAAGAATCTTCTTCGATTCAATTTCTCCAGTCTCTCCACAAATAAATATTTCCTAGCTTCTAGAGAAAGCTGAGTTAAACAGTTCTGCCCTCACAGTCTATAGAGAAGGCAGGCTTGTAAATAAATTAACAAATTACAACAGAGGCAAAAAGAGAAGTGAGTACAGAATTAAATCAGAGGAAGAACTAACTCTCCGGTTGCAGAGGAAGTTCCGGATACATTTTCTGTATTCCCTGAAAGGCCCTCAATAAATACCTGTTGAATGAATGGATGAATTAATTAATTCTTGGGGCACCAGGTTCAAGTGAGGTACCAAGTTCAAGTGAGACCTATCAGTTGCTTCTGCAAGCCAGTGGATAAACCTTACCTTTCAACAACTGAAGAATGTAGATTCCACAGACTCACCCCTACCTCATCCCCAGGAAATCACCTTGGAGAAAAGACCTTACCTGTATTGCCAGCCTTTTGTACTGCCTCCACGGATTCCACCCCTACAGCTGCTGTTGCTGCTGTTCTTGTTGTTCGGGGTCACCGCTGTGGCCATGCCCTCCAGTTTTCCTTCACTGTCTGAGACTTTCATCGTTGGCACTGGTTCGCCCCCCTGCATCTTAACTCCAAAATCCATTTGTCCTTCTTGGACTGGGGAGAACTACTCTGTAGGCGATTTTTTTTTTTAAGATTAGATCTGAATGTGATCCCAGTTGCTAAATCAGACAGTGGCTGGAGTAGGAACCGTCAAATGGTCCAAGAAAGGAAGATACGCACTTCCACTGAAGTTAAAACTTTTAAGAGGGCTGGGGTGGAGACGAGGACAGATATCCTTTAGATACATACATATATCTCCTTCCTAGCAAAGTCAAGGAGGAAAAAAATCATCCGGCCAGAGGGCTTGGTGACACACTTAAGGGAGACGCATAAGGAGCGAGGGGAGGTCGCGGATTCGAACTCCAGCCAGGAGAGCTGGATGAAGGACTGAGGAGCACGAACACGGAACCAGCGGCCTGACCTCTGGGCTAAGGTGCTGACCCGCCGCGCTCCCTCTTCCTTTTTTCCAGCCGGTGCCTAGGGGGAGGGTCCCGTCCAGCCCGCTCGGCGGTTCCCGCCGCAGCCCCGAAGACAGAGCCACGGCCGGCGCGCGCAACCCGGGAGGATCGGGAAAGGAGGCCGCCGGGGGCGGGACGCCGGCTCCCAGGGCTGCCTCTCTTTGGCAAGAGGCGAGCCGCTCGGGGCGACTTCCTTCAGCGCCCCCGGCCCTGGGCCCTCGACTCGGTTCCCAGGAACTGGCTCTCTCCCTCTCTCCGGACCAAGCGAGAAAAACCAGGGCCGCGGCCGCCGCCCCACCCACAGCTCCACAGCGGGTCACCCACCCGCTTGTTCTCTCCCCGCCTTCCCTTCCGGAGTACCATGAGCTCACTTCCCCCAGAGCCGAAGCTCCCGGCGCCATCTTGAGTGAGGGCATCCGGGCCCTGAAGGGGGCGGGGCATGCGGGTGAGGGTAAGTGGGTGGTAACCCGCTGGAAGAAAAGGAGAGGGAGGGCGCGGCTGGGGCAGGAGAAGCTGGGATCGTGCTGGAGGTGGAGACAAAGAAGGGAGGAGACGGAGGCAGTGCCCTTGGGAAGTGTGATTTATGGCCTTGCTAACCAGGTCTTGTTAGGGACCTTTCCATGCATTTTTAGGAAGAAAGCGTAGAAAAAATAAGAAACTATGTAAGCAAAACAAAACACACCTCTTCGTTGTAGTCATTTTATCAAAAAATGCATGACATTGAAGTAAGGCAATTGTTAAAAAGAGAAAGAATCTGTCGTGAAAATTAGAGAGTTCTCAAAATCAGAGCTAGGTAGTCTTCCTCATCCCATACAAA